TTATAATGTACGGTCATATACGGATTAGTGTGATTAGACATTATATAATGTCATTATAGGTACTGCACATTATTATAGTGTCCTACCTAYAAAAATATGAAAATATTCGATTTGAAGTTGTAGTTATCGGATCATACGTGGATGGTTTAAATTCGATTTTAATTATCACGTGTATTAATCATTGTCCGATTATAATATACATAACCTATATATTATGAAATATGTACACTCTAAATAATAAATTAAATGTAGGCATTATCCCAGTGTCGTATTTAAGATTTTAATCGGCCTTGCATTATCCCCATCAATCCTACAGCATATGATTTTATTATAAATTAGGTATATATAATTCATACGTTCAGTCTGGTATATTGTTATTGCAGTAATAAAGTTTTTGCGGTTTCACCGCCAAACTCAAACGGAATACATATTCATGTAATATTATCGTTATGTACATAATATTATAGCGATCGCAATATTTTAATTAGTAGCGATTAGGTCGCGTGTAGTCCCGTAGTACAYCGTGTTACACACACCCGCACTCGCCTACACGTGGTAGTGCGATGCGTATCAAAGTCCCCGTCGAAATAAATTAAACGGCGGTACAAAAGTTTTCCATAATTTCAATTTAAAATCTGTTTGTGGTTTGTACGGTATTAATCGAATGTATACGTACCTATGATATCATTACGACGTTACATCTATGGTTTGTTATTATAATCTATAAGCGGCGTTCTGAAATAAATTATAAACGGTTCGTCGGTTTCACGAATGCACATATTACACTAAAAACAAACTTAAATAATTATATTATTATTTAACCGAACTGCGTCAGCCGAGGRATGGCTACCTATTCTATAATAATAACATTAATAACCACAACTATTTAATATCATGCTTTATTATAGTTACATATGAATCGATATTATTATATTATATTGCGTAGCAGCTCACACTATATACATATAACATATATAGGTATAGCCGTATATKTGGTAAACCCACGCTCGAGTTGTGATTAATAACGTCCGACCGATATAATAAATATATATGCATCATACCGTTTCTCCACTCTGAGTCAGTGTTAAATAAGTGACAGGTAATTCGGACGAATCATAAACTTCCATGCATAATATATATATATATATAAGTCAATAAGACGTTTATTCGTGTATATATTGTTGTTATATCTTTTTTGAGTTCAAAAGTTTCGAAATAGAACGAGATCTGCCGGGTTTGATATGCCTTAGCGGCTACAACATCGCATAGGTACCTCACACATATTATTATGTATTATCTCTGCGAGCTGACTTTTCTAATAACAGTTGCATGCTGCATTTTAAACTAAGGGAGTGTGTATACGAATGATTTTATTCCGCGCAGAGTTTCACGTCGTTGTTGTTTTTATTGGTTTTTTTTTTCTATCTAAGGCTATGGTGTCGGAAAAGTCCGAATCAATACGGTTTTTGACAAAAAAAATAAAAAATGTAGCGCAAGTGTCTATGAATTATATTTAAAAGAAATTTTTTAAAAATATTGATTAGAACAAAAGTTATTTCATTTATCAGAATGTCAGATCTCTGTGGGACACCCTGTATAATAGTAGTTGAAAAATATTAAAAATAAATAGGCATGTTTTATTTTTATAACCGCTTAAAGTTCAAATGTCGACAAAAT